ATAAAAAAATATTTTCATTCATGATTATGTACTGGCAGACCACTGAAAAGAGTACCTTAGAACAACTTAAGTCAGCTTGCAATCATACTGCTCGATTAAAAAAAAAATACAAACACGTTTTACATTAGACATTGCAAACTACATACCGATTTCTGCTCTGGGTAATGAAGGAAGACATCTTGTCCCTTACCATTGCATGTACGGGTGGCATTTCAGAAGCTAGCACGTAGTTCTCTCTAAACTTGTCATGGGCAGAGTTAGCCCTGTGGGACGAGGCATATGAAAAAAGGGAACAGAGACTTGGCTCCCTACAGGCAGGTACACGCCAAAAGGGGAGGAAGAGCCAGAATGAGATTCACAATCAAGTGATAAGGTTAATGCTGGATCACCACTCGTTCCGTGTGATGCTACAGCTTTTAAAATTAAGTAGTTCATTAAAACATCCCCTCTACAGCTAAGCCACCTCCCTTCTTCCTTGAAAGTTACAGTGCTTTGGCAGTATCAGCTAGGAGAGAATTCTTGACTGTACAATAACAAAGACTTCAGCTTCATCTTAACAGAGAGAGGAAGAGCACAGAATCATGCTTTGATGGCCTTCCTGTTAGCATTTCACACCTTGAGAGCTTGTGACCAGTCATGTTGAGAAGTGTTTACGATTAAATGTTACAAATTAGCAATAAAAAAGACAGATTTGCGGGAAAACAAGAGGAACGGGATTCAGCAACAGATCATGTTCTTGCAAGGGCAGGTTACTTACACTTGAAACTCTGCCAGAATCAAGCAAATCCTACTTATCACTGCAAAATCTTTGCCAAAGCACACCCAAGGGCAAAAGTCTCTCAAACAAACAGACATAGATTAAAAGCTGCCAGAAGGATCAGCTAGTGGGCTTGCTGCCTTCTACTTTTTGTACACTGGTAACTTATTAGATCAAAGACAGAACCAAGTTCAACCTTTTTTGGGTGCAGGATATTCCTACGCTGGTTTACCTGAGCAAGTCTTCAGCAACAAATAATGCCCCACAGTGAGGTCATTTTACAGTTTATCCCAACTGGAGAGTAAGGACTGGTGTTTCCCCACACACACACCCAACAGGCTAAAACCTCTTCAACCTGATGTTAGAAGCAGGTTAATTTATATGGAGAAACATCATAAGTTTTACATTCAGGAAACAAATCCTGGACATAGTTCTGTCGTGAATTTCTCATGAAGAGTATTTTTGAACGTCAAGAAGTGGTACAAGCTGATGACACTACTGCAGCAAAAACACATTTGGCTGGGCTGTAGCAAAACACCTAAGAAGCCCTCCTCTTCCACCTACAGCCTCTTAGGTTACTCTTGCTGATGCCAATGGAAACGCTTTCCAAAGATTGAGAGGATACGGCCTAAAATGTTTCATGTCTTCAGCTAGGAAGAGGAGAAGAAATTGATACTAAAATGACTTTTAAGCTTGGAAGGGTGGAAAGTGAATCATAAAATATAGCACTTATCAAAAAATGAGATAATCCTCCACTAGCAAAGGTGAGCTAGAACATCCCATCGTAGCACTTTTGCGTTCCTGGGTGTATGGTTGTCTCTCGGCAGGGAACACACAACTGTACAGGAAAATTAGTAGGTACAAAACAGCAATACCAAATTTGCAGGCAAATACTCTCTTTCGATATGGGAAAGCAGCTACAATTTACAGAAATTCAGAGAGATCACGGCCTCCATCAAAACCAATGTATGCTTTGTTGCCGTTTACACAGAGAGAGCAGTAACATTCAAGGGCCGCGTTCCCTGCTTCTGCTGGAACACACAAGAAACGGAGCAAGTTTCTGAAGCCCCCACATAGAAAAGGCGGCATACTAAAAGCGTCCATAAACACATCTTAAGTATTAGACATTATCCAACCAGAAACACCGAAGATCCACATCTCTGAATAAAAATTATCTTTCCCACACTTGCTGAGATTTTTGTCATCTGGGAGTCAGTTTTACCAGCTCTCTGGCCTTTCAGCAAAGACTTAATTAAAAAAGCCAGTGCTCCTAACATTAAGAACTAGAATAAATGTATAAATCTTGAGATTAGATCATAAACCCCCCTTTACATCATAAAGGGGGAAACCAGGGGAAAAAAAGGTCATGAGTATCCACCCACATCTTTTTATATCACCTGCATGTTTTCCATTTCAAAATACTGCAGTACAGTCACCCTTACATATGAAAGTTAAACTGATTACAAATAAGACCATCTGTTTGTGGCTTTATTCTTCCCCAAAATAAAATACCACAAATTTGCAGTGTGCTTTGTACTTTTGCTTTTACGTCCCACTGAACTCACCGTTGAATGTACATGTTGAAAGAAAATTAGCTACTTCCTTCAAAAGGTTATATTATAAATATACTGATTTATGAGACAGGACAATGGGTGCCCTGTGCTGACGGCATTGTATGGAGTAGGGTTACACACAACCCAAATTACAGCCACCTCCACTATGAACTTCAAAACACAAGTTGCTACTCAAGATACATGGGTATGTTCCAAGTTCAGAAAAAAATCTGACACTTGAAGACAGTGTTGAGTCTACTCTCTCCCTTCTGGCAAGCAGCATGTTTATGGCAGACCTGAGTATGGGAATTATTTCACACCCTTACATACTTAGGGAAGATACAGGCTAGACGACAGAAAATACTCTGAAACAGCACAGAATTGGCAATCTCAAGATATTTACAGGCAAAGAAGCATAATCGCACCATAATTTAAGTTATTGCTTCTTGTGGACAAGTGGGGTATTCTTTGACTGAGACACAGGACTTGTTTGGTTTATTTTCCCCTTCAGAAGTGCAAAGACTCAGGACCACTGTGAGGATGTATTTAAAACGAAGGTGTTGCCTATGACTAGAGCTATGTCTACAGCATGGTCATTGCCAACTGACCAACACAGCTGGTGACAGAAAGCTTATGTAGGTGAGTTTCCACAGGCATTTTCAAACCCAAGCATCACTCTCATGCTTCCAAGGTTATTCTAGGCTTGGGGCATATTACAGGTTTTCATACAAGAAAACTTCCCATAGCCTTTAAGAAAAGATATATGGATACCAAGAATGCCAAACTAGGATCTAAGGCTGATCTTGTATCCTTCCTCAAATAATCCAAGGTATTGCTGCTCTACTGTGCTGACAGAAGCAGCAGCGGACCCTTGCCTGCAAAACCATGCATCAGTGCGATTGCTAGTGGTACGCTTTTCAAACACTGGCCCTAAATGCAGGACAGCAGTGATAACTGATGGGCCTATAAACCAGCTATTTGCATCTGAATACAGAAAATTAAGGTTTTTGAAAAAACAGTAAATGACCTACAAATATGAAGTACCAAAACTGAGGTTAAGTTGTAAACAAATCTGTGTTTGTAATATTCACCTACTTAATTCCCAAGCCAAAGACTATCTACGACCTCAGAGCACAGGACACCAAAACACTTACCTACCCCCTTTACATTATTACAGGTGAGCTTCTGTGGGCATGAAGCCAACAGTAAACATTGAATCAATGCAAATGTAAAAGTTTTACTTTTGGAAGATAGCAGGGATTTAAAACATTGGAGAAGTGGGCCTGCAGGCAACACCACTATTCCGAGTATTAATTACAGGTGCTCTAATTCTTCATCCCTTCCCTCCCTCCCCCCCATGATAATACAAGGCAACACAAATACTCTCATCTAAAAAGGAATCTGTACAGGGAATGACTATACATTCGATGTGACTTCAAAATTGAAAGGGTGACAAAACGGTTCTTCTCCCACTGAAAAAGAGAATACAACAGGGCCCCAGAGTTACAGGTTCAGCTGAAACCAGTGATGCAAGCCCAAAAATGTAGAAACTGCACCAGCAATTATGACAATTATCTAGTTTGGACTCCTTTAGACTTGCAGCATAACAAAGGCATTTTACAGAGCAACGTTCAAGGGAAAATGTTATCCAGGCAAGAACTGCTCTGCAAGCAAGATAGAGAGTTTAATAACATGCACTGAACTTGTTCTCCAGACAGCAGCAGTTGCTCCTGTTCTTTGCCCTTTTTGATATGAATCACAGTAGCAACAGAGAACATGTACTTAAATAAAAGAAAAGCAGAATTATGTATGTACAAGAAAAATGTTTGAAGTGTGCAATTTATTTTCACTACTGAAACCCACTAAAAATGTTGTCACTAATAAATATTCATAATTGTTCCCTGTACTGTGAAACTCAGAAACTATTATGATTAATTCTTGATATAAAAAGTATGCTTTGAAGCTCTGATACCTGTTCCAGTTTACTGTCTTTTTTTTTTTTTTTTTGGTCTTTTTAAACTGTGATACTTACTGGGAACTAATACCTATCCACAGTTTTGCTTGGTGTACCCCCCCCAGAGACATCTTGTGTTTCATGAAGCCCTGACTCTACTAGTATAATACAGTAAAATAATAATAAATTAAACAAATGCAGGTGCATTTAAAAAAAAAAAAAACCAAAACAAAAGACACTGTCAAATGCTGGTCTGCTCATGAAGAGACCAAGGATTTAGATGCAAAGTACTACAGATCTTGCCATCAAAAAAATAATTCAAAGAAGGAAACAAAAACTTGCACATAAGTGTTTTAAATATTAAACACAAATCCCACCTTGATGTTATCTCACCCATGCCTATAAAAACCTCTTACTGTGCCCACATTTGTAGTTATTAATTTACACTTCAGGAGGCAGCCTGGAGATGACAGTAGTACAATAAAATAATTACCTGAAACATTTTTAAAAAAATACCCGTTAAACAAATTACCTTAACTGGCAGCACTTAAAATCAGTAATTCTTTTTTTTTTTCCTATTTAAAAAAAAGTTGCATAGCTGTAAGATTTTGCTTTGCTGCATTTTTGTTTTTTTGTTGTTGTTTTTACTCACAAGCAGTAGAAGAGAAGTTTTAGTTACTTAAATAGCAATACAACATGCAGATTTCAACAATCCCTATAGCTTGACCAACATAAATTAGTTACCTGTCTTGGTTTTACTCTTTGGACTGCATTGTGACAAAGGTTTAGTTACAAAATTTTGAAATACAGTGTTCCTATGCAGAGAAGTTTATGTTTTCTGTTCTTGAAAGAAGTGAAGAATGTAAAACAGGGTGTGAATTCAGTAAATTAAGGTCACACTGTTAGATTATATTTAGTTTGCCATTTACTCTTCTTCAGCCAATGAGATGGTGAAAACAGTCCCACTCAAAACCGGGGCCATCTTCCTGCAAGGGTCTCAGACAGCATGTATCGAACATCTCTGCTTCCACTGGAGGCATCAGGAAATATGTCCAATAACTTGCTTCTTCACAGAACCAGAAGTTAGGCTGAAATTAGGAACTTTGGCCTTCAATACAAAATAGTGTCAGTAATGTCTGTGGGGAGACGATTGTTACAGAACGTGCAGCATTTTCAAAATCCCTGTGTGTCTTTTGCATGAGTGTTTGGTATACCGAGCACTACTGGCAAGTAACCGGTGGCTGCAATGCTTTTTGCATGTCACTGTCCATCTTTGCCTTTTTCAGCCACAGAGAGCTGTAAGTCTCAGGCCAGGCACGCTGTGCCTCACATCTCTGTTTTCCCATCAGTGGAAGCAGCTGTTGAAAAAGCAGAAGACAAAGTACCATCATTGCAGCTGTTTCAGTACATAACACACTCCAACAGCATGAGCACAACCACTGTGTTTTCCTTCCCTTTTTCCCTCAGCCCCTAATTATCACCATCTCTGCTGTGAAAAAAAAAAAAAAAAAAAAGACAATAGGATTTAACATGAGGTTAGACACCTCAGACAGAGACAGATGTGTTCATAAACAGCATGCGGGCTTCTTCCACAATGCAGTTGTTGGAGCAATATAGGAAACATGTTTGTTTCTTAATTTCAGCTAACACTGCCCTGAAGTTAAAACAATTTATCCTTGTAGTAGGATACCCTCCTTCAGGTTTTCTCTGCTACCCCTGCAGCAACCGCAGCACTGCAATGTGACCTGCAACGCAGACTCATGAAGGAAGATGAAACAAATGAATAGATGCCAATGATAAAGTCTTTAGAATTTTTTTTCCATCAGAACAACAAAACCAAACCCTCAGCTACCAGCGAGAATTCCAGATATCTCAATTTCTCTAATAATTATGATGATTGTTGGTGTGTTTTGCAATGTTTACAAGCAGTACTTTCATGCAAGATAAAGTTTTGAACTAGTCAACTAAAAGAATAAACCTATCCTTTAAACCTTTGACATTGATGGCAGATCCAAAATCATTAACACAAAACATAAGCTGGAAAAATGTGAACCTCTGTAAGATGGGATGGATAGAAACATGTTAACATTTTTAATTTATTTATACATTTTAAACATTCTGGAATGCATTAAAATGAAAGTTGTTTTGGAAATACCTACTTTCAACTTTTTCATGATTCCCAAAGCTTTCCATCAGAAATAAATACCAGTACTCATGGAACAATCCAAAATTACACAACTGTATTATTTTAATTTTGTATCATTTCCATGGAAAAAATACTCTTTAAAAGTTAATGCTAATGCTTTATTGGCACCGACTTGCCACTTTCCAGTACCAAAAACTGGAATGCATAATTTCAGACCATGCCATATAAGGATATAGAAACCTTTTACATATTGCAATATACGTCAATACTTACTGGTTACTATTACAGTGCCAACACAGTTGCAAATTCACAAATTAAAAAGAATAGCATAAAGAGTTATTTCAGCTAACCAAGATATTTATTGTTGAAATGTATGTGTCTGAAAATAAATATTACCTAAAAACATGAATCTTGTCTTAATCTGATGGATGCTCAGGGCACGATCTATTTACTTCAAACCATTCATCTATGCAGCTGTTGGATGCAAGACAAAAATGAAAACAATTGACATGAATATCTCAGTAACATTTAGCAGTAACATATGAATATAAATTGGTGTCTCATAATTTCAATGAATAGTCGAATTTTATATAATACAAAGAATTATATGTATATGCACACATATTTCAACATTCATTGAAAATGTAAAAACCCCCAAACCACAGTAGTATTTGGATATTAAACACTGTTGAACAACTAAATAGCTTAAGTGTTAAAATCTTCTAAGGAAGCATTTTACAAACTGCTATCCAGCTTCTAGACACAGGTTACTTGACTACTAACACTATCATCTTGCTTGTATCATTCACTGACATCTTACTTCCTGTAGTTACAAACACTTGTAGAAACAAATACAAAACAGGTTTAAAAAGTGCTTCCCCCTTTCCCCTCCAAGTCTACTAGCACTTACCACAACTTTTATTATGTAGGTAACACACAACCTAAGCTCCATAGCTATGATGTGTACCCCTTGCCCATACAGGTGATTTCACCTTTTTTTTTTTTTTTTCCTGTGGGCTTTTCATGCAAGTGTGAGAAGACTATGTCACAGGGAAAACTGACACTGAAAACACATCCCTGGAGAGGCAGAAAGATGTCGTTTTAAAAACATCTTTAGGATTGCTGCTGTTGTTTCTTTGTTGTTTGTTTGTTTTTCAAATGTAAAAAGCAACTAAGTTTTAGTGCTCCTGTAAGCCCCCGGTAGAGGAGTTACCCAATAAATGCAACCTTCTGGAATTTTATATGCATTGTGAGGAATACTTGCCCTTTATGATATATGCAGAGGCAAGGCAGCCGTGCTATAGTATCTCCTTGCTGCAGCTCTTCCAGGCATATTGCACACTCCCCAGCATCTTTACTCAGCACATCCTCTAAAGAAAGGACAAAGTTAAATGGTTAAAAAATAGACTACTATAAGCAAAATGTTCTTTATTCAGAACATCAAGGACAGCTACAAAAGATACTTCTTGTCCTGCAAAAAGCCCTGTCAAGGTGAGGATCAGTCACATACCAGGTGACTGAAGATTCCTGATGGGAGACCTCACAGCAGCTCAAATTAAAATATGGTTATGATTCAGTTTCTTGCCTGAACACAGCTGTAGCTCAAAATAAAGTCCTGTAGGAAGATACCCATATGGAGAAGAGGGGTAGCCATAATCAACAGCCAGTATCCCTTTGGAGTTTATACCCTCCCAGCAGACCCGTACCCCACTGCACAGGCTCCTCTGGTCTGGCCTCGGAAACCTGTGCTCTGAACCACAGAGCTGCAGCAGGCATGCTGTGCTGCTGAGCACACGAGCTAAGCATTGGAGAAGTTGGGTTCTTCATACAGATGGTATGTAATGTCTCCAGGGCTTTGAGGATTCATGCTGGATGGGTTTTTCCTAGCTGTCCCCTCTTCCCTATGCTCAGTTTTCACTATGGAGGTTAAGTTCAAGCCTGAACATAACATTTCTCCAGACAGGACGCTGCAGGTAATGAACTAGGTAAAGATCTTCTCAACTTCTGAACACTTGTCCTATCATTTGCTTTTACTGCTCTCCTACTCCACTCTCTTCTACACATCTGGCTTGCTTTCACCAGCCTTTCTGGTACTCATATTTCACACCTTCAACCTCCAATTCTCACCATGTCAGCATGTTCTACCACATCCCATCCATCTTTTCCTCAATGTAAAGTATACAACTGTTAGCAATAGGAGTGGGAGTTTTCCATCAGGGAAAGATCAGTGCTGTATCCCTCCAATGACCTGGAGATACTGAATTTTTCGCAAGCCCCATAACAAATGAGGAGAAAGTAAGTTACCAGGAATGCACAAGAGCTGGCTTTCACACAGAAGTTTCTGGGAAAAAATATTATTTTCAATAAAAACCTTCTCTCTTGGACACTTCTCTTAGCCAGAATGTGGGATGCAGAATTCAGTCTTAGCACAAAGCAAAACAGGAGATCACGTAAGGCCCTATTTGCCAGGAGCAGGTTAAAAATCCCAGTTAGATGCGAACTCACACAGTGCACAGAGCATTCCCAACAAGGGACCACGTAACAACCAAGCTGGCAATGTCCGGCAGATCAGAAAGGCCCACACTTGGCAAAGTAAAGCCCATATATTCAAATTTCTACAGCTTCTGGGGAAAAGCTTCCCCTTTCTTGACCAAAAGGAGCCTAAAGGAACTATTTATGGAGACGATCATTCCCAGGTACCACTGAGAAACCACTAGAGCTTGTAAGCTGTTCTCTCCAGTGGCTCCAATACTCATCACTACAGCATTCCAATCACACAGAAAATGACAAGTAGACAGCTAAAAAGCTATCATTGCAGCAAAAAGTGAAATGAAATTAGGTCTACATAGTTTCCCTTAGAATGATAGCAAGCTGTCTTGCAGGTGCTTGGGTTTCTAAAAGAGTGCTTATTTCAGTCTCTGCTAATATTCATTCCTTATGCTAAAAATACTGTGTAATGCCACATGTGTGGCATCTTCACGAGGATATGTGAACAATCCCTAACATGAGGTGAACTGCTATAAAGAAAAATATTCAAAACAAAATAATAAACAATACACACCTATCACAATGAAGAAAATCAAACATGTATTTTACACATGGTAACATAATTCATATTGTTCTATCAGATAAATTTCTGAGAACATTAGAGGTACCTAAGAGAGAAAGCAATTTAAAACAATACAAAAGATCTTAAGAACTCCTAACTGTTGTTACAAAATCCTGACAGTAAGAACTTGCCCAGAAGAGGGTGCTAAGGATAAATACTTCCTTGAGGTTTGTTTTTGTTTTTTTTTAAATAAAAAGATACTTTAATATCTGACACCAGGAGGCAAAGACTCTCCAGGCAGCATTGTCCTGCTACAGAGATATTAGTCTTTGCCTGAGGTTCTCAGATTCTACTCTCCTAGACAGCTTCTTTACACAAGTACTTTGCCGAAAGTCCTATGAGCAGATCTACTCTCTTCCCACAGTTCGGTTACATGAAGAAGCGCCATTAATAATTCAAGCATATATCATATACACAGAGCATACTTAATAAAAGTAATTTTTTTCCATGGAGTCACTTTATCAGCCCAGCAGCTGCCAAAAAAAAATGGCACTAAGATACCTCCAGTGAACTAATCCCCAGCCTCCCTCCCTCAGCACTCTCAAGAGGGAAGCATTTAATCAAGCTTTGATGACAAAAACTAAAAAGCTGTCCAATAAAAATACAATTTATGAAAGGAAACATTCCTGTGAACTGCCTTCATATCGTTCCCTACCGTACCTGTCAGGCTTACTGTGAGCTCCCCAGACCGTACAACGCCTGGGTCTGAACTCCCGCTGAGCGATTAACAAGATTCTGCACCTTTTGGCTAACATTGGGGCAAGATGCCAGTTTAAACATTTGTATCTCCCACCAGCCCTGCCCTAAGTGTCAGACTCCTTCCCTCCGGCACTCTCCCTAGCTGCCATTAGCCGCCCTCTTCCCAATACCAGCCCTACTGCACAAGTGCCAGGCAAACCGCTTGCTCCCCTCCCTGGCTGCACCCCAGGCTTTCCATCTGGCCGAGCCGCTGGCCACACACCAGGCTTTGCCTAGTCGTGCCAGAAGGAGCTGGTGTGAACACTGATGATGACTGGCATGGACGGGGACTCAAATGTGGTGGAGTTCTGCCACCCCTGCACAAGAGATTTTGTTAACAGGTTTCAATGCTCTTCTTCCTCTGAAATAATGAGCTGGCATTCCCTACTTCTTGTGTTAACCTTACAAATTCTACCAAGCTGTTGTGCAAGAGAAAAACGTAAATACTGAAGGAATTAGTACCAAATACCCAACTGCTATAAATGCCCACGTGCAACTTGGCACTGCACGTTAACAAACCCAAACTTGTGTAATTGTGCTCATAATTGATTACACATGTAGAGCGATGACAGCAAAACCAAACCCTTCAAGTACCTATGACATTTTGGGTCCAACTCCCTTTTGACTATTTTAAGTTATTTGGATCATCAATCCCACACAAAGAAAAAGGACTGAAAAAACCTGTTAGACCTGGACCCCGGTCAGAGTTTCTTCCGTACTTGTCTCGTACAGCACTCCCCTGTACCAACACTGGCTTACACCAGATGGAAGTCAGGTTAAGGGCCATTTAACACTGACTTTTAAATGTATCTGTTATGGAAAAATGTGTAAATCATTTCAGGCAGAACTACTGCAGTCTGAACAATTTATTTCTTTTCATATTTTCATATTTTCCTGCAGAGGAGTGATTCAGCAGTGATTTCTTTTTCTCTTTTCTCTTGTAAAAAAAAAAAAAAAAAAAAGAACAGTTTGAGATCTCATTAATGTTATGATTAAAACATTTATATGAGTGTATTACCTAAATGGAAGTGGGAAGAGGAAATAAGCCGAGGCCACATTTTTCCATTTCGCCCACATGTGGTTACATACACAAACACTCACCACACCCCCACATCCATCTGCCTTGCACCAAATGGGAGGTAAACACTCCTCCACCTTCCCAGCTACTTGAAACAAGTACTCACTAGCCAAAGACTGGTGTCAAAATCTGGCAAAAGAGCATAGTATTTCCCTCCTGCGCCTACTCAAGTACTTCTTCTTCCTCTCCTCTATCCCTGGGTAATGATACTACTGTTTTATTTTCTGGTTGTCAGTAATTTTTCCTCCTAAAATTCTGCTTTTATCTTTACTGAAAAATAAATACTATTCTACTCCTGCATTTATAGCAAAATAGGTAGTACTGAATTAAAATACAATCAACCTGGCAATTTTTTCACATATTTTACCAATTAAAAACTTTTTCCTAGAATTTTTGAAAAATAAATCCAACAACTATCAAATATATCCACCAACTCAGCCATGGTTAAAATTATAGGCAATGCCCGAAATAGTCTGAAATGAAAGAGTCTGCCTCTAAACTGATGACTGCAAAAGCACATGCAACACATACTTTATGGATTAAGTCATTAAAATCTGTGCTACTGCTTCATTTTTTTCTTTTTAAGACACAGTTACAAGCCTAGGCTCAGGAAATCCCAAGTCACAAATCATGGAGACGGTGATAATATTTGGAGAGATGTCACTTTATAGCTGCAGTATTCATTTCTCTCTAAGAATTCACTGGGAACAGAACACCAAGTTAGAAAGACCTTTAAATGTCTGTGGAAGCTGCCACGACAGCTAGCGTAACAGTGACGAATGACACAAAAGTGCACCTTTTCGGGAATATGACTAAAACTTATTTGAACATACCTTCTGAACATTATCTTATCAGCACTTAAACTGGTAAAACAAGAGCCATAAGAAGTTAAAAATATTGATGAAACTTCATTCAATTCAATTCAGTTTTGGGCCCCTCACCACAAGAAGGACATTGAGGTGCTGGAGCAGGTCCAGAGAAGGGCAACGAAGCTGGTGAAGGGTCTGGAGCACAGGTCTGACGAGGAGCGGCTGAGGGAGCTGGGGTTGGTTAGAGAAGAGAAGGCTGAGAGGAGACCTTATCACTCTCTACAACTACCTGAAAAGGAGGGTGTAGTGAGGTGGGTGCTGGCTTCTTCTCTAAAGTAACAAGTGATAGGACAAGAGGAAATGGCCTCAAGTTACACCAGGGAAGGTTTAGGCTGGATATTAGGAAAAATTTCTTCACTGAAAGAGTGACCAGACATTGGAACAGGCTGCCCAGGGAGGTGGTTGAGTCACCATCCCTGGAGGTGTTCAAGAAACGTGGAGATGTGGTGCTTAGGGACATGGTTTAGGGAGTTAGGTGGTGTTGGGTTGGACTTGATGATCCTTGAGGTCATTTCCTACCCTATATGATTCTATGATTCTATTAAATAGTACATATTACCATCTGTCTGTTACACA